CTACACCCCCACATGAGAGAAAAACACAATTAAATGCAAAAGGGGGAGGGGAGAGGAGTGAGGGAGATTGGCAAGCTCTCACTTTTTTTTTTTTTTGAGACAGAGCCTCAAGCTGTTGCCCTGGGTAACAGCAACCTCTTAACTCCTGGGCTCAAGCGAGTCTCCTGCCTCTACCTCCCAAGTAGCTGGGATCACAGGTGCCCGCTACAATGCCTGGCGGTTTTTTTTGGTTACAGCCATCATTGTTGTTTAGCAGGCGGGCTGGATTTGAACCCACCACCTTAGGTATATGTGGCTGGCGCCTTAGCCACTTGAGCCACAGGCGCCGAGCCAGCAAGCTCTCACTTAATAGGCACAATGTAAGGGTATACAGCACACCCCTTGATGAAGGGTTCAAACTGCAACTTGAACTTTACCTAACAAATGCAAAGAATGTAACCTAATCGTCTGTATCCTCATATTAATCTGAATTAAAAAATAACAGTAGAGACTAGATATATTAATCCATTTAAGAAGTAAAAACAAAGTTAGCATAATTGAAATTTTAAATATTACCAATTTCAAGAAATTCTTTTTAGAATTTTAAAATATTTTTATTGTGGTAATATACATATAAATTTGAAGTTTGCCATTTTTACCATTTTAAATTACATAATGTAGTGGAAGTAATCACATTCACATGTTGTGCAGCCATTACCACTATTTCCAAAACTTTTTCATCACCCCAAACAGAAACTCTATGCCCAGTAAGCAATAACTCCCTATCCATTTGCCCTCAGCTTCTGGAGACCTACTTTCTGTCACTGTGAATTTGTCTATTCTAGATATTTTATATAATGTTTGTCCTTCTGTGTCTGGCTTATTTTAGCATAATGTTTTCAGGGTTAATCCATGTTGTAGCAAGTATCAGAATTCCATTCCTTTTTATGGCTGAGTAATATTCCATTATATGTAGACGCCACATTTGTTTATTCATTCATCTTTTGATTGACACTTGGGTTGTTTCCACCTTTGGCTACTGTGAATAATGCTGCAGTGAACACTGGCATACAGAAATCAGTTTAACCACCTGTTTTTAGTACTTGTGGTTATATACTCAGTAGACTATTAAATTCCTTAATAGCCAGGTACCTATTTTATTCATTATTTTTCTATCCCCAGCACATCACTTAGGAGTCACTCAAGTAGTATTAATGTTGAACTAATCAGAATATCTGTGTTTCCCAACTTGAGGCAGTAGATTGAATACATCAGGACTTATAGTTGGGCTATAAAACTAGTATAAAATAAAAATTTGAAAGTTTAAGCTTTTGGTGGCTGCGTTTCATCAAGGCAGATTGCTAAGTTTGAACTTCTTGGGAAGAAATTGCTTTAGCCTGAGACTATTCTACTATTAACTAAAAGGCCAACTAAGTGATGTTTCCTTTTGTGTGGGTCTGTTTTTGTTTTTAACAGTGAATGCATAAAAATACAACCGACTGACATCCAACCTGACATATTCAGCTATTTGTTGCACATTATGTACACAGGGAAAGGGCCAAAACAGATTGTGGATCATAGTCGTTTGGAGGAGGGGATTCGATTTCTTCATGCCGACTACCTTTCTCACATTGCAACTGAAATGAATCAGATGTTCTCACCAGAGACTGTACAGTCCTCAAATTTGTATGGCATTCAGATCTCAACAACTAAAAAACCAGTTGTCAAACAAGGGCTGGAGGTCAAAGATGCTCTTTCCAATAACAGTGGCAACAGAACTGCTGTCCAGGGTGACCACCCCCAGTTGCAGCTGTCTCTTGCTATTGGCCTGGACGATGGCACTGCAGAGCAGCAGAGGGCCCCTTCTGCTACCCAGGCCTTGGAGGAGCACCAGAAGCCTTCAATGTCCATCAAGCAGGAGAGGTGTGATACAGAATCAGTGATCTCCCAGAACCATCCCTCACCCTCATTAGAGGTGACAGGCCCCACTTTTACTGAAAACAGTATCAAAATACACTTATGTCATTACTGTGGGGAACGTTTTGATTCCCGTGGTAACCTAAGACAACATCTCTATACACATGTATCTGGATCTCTCCCATTTGGTGTTCCTGCTTCCATTCTGGAAAGTAATGACCTTGGTGAAGTACATCCACTTACTGAAAATAGCGAGGCTCTTGAATGCCGTAGGCTCAGCTCCTTCATCTTCAAGGAGAATGATCAGCAGCCTGACCACTCAAACCGGGGTAACACAGAGTCTTTACAGATCAGTCAAGTATCTTTAATCTCCAAAGACACAGAGCCAGTAGAATTAAACTGTAATTTTTCTTTTTCAAGGAAAAGAAAAATCAGCTGTACCATCTGTGGTCATAAATTTCTTCGAAAGAGCCAATTGTTGGAACACATGTATATACACAAAGGTAAATCTTACAGATATAATCGGTGCCAAAGGTTTAGTAATGCATTGGGCCAGAGATATCAGACATACTGTGACAGCTGGTCTGGTGTCTCCCTGAAAAGTTCTCGCTTATTGCAAGAACACTTAGATGTTCCTTGTGCCTTAGAGTCAGAGCTCACACAAGAAAATGTGGATACTATCCTAGTCGAATAGTAATTTCTCTGTGAGAATTTTTATACCTATTCTGAAAAAGAAAATTTTACATGGCTTTTTTGTTTGTTTGTTATGTTTTTGGGACAGAGTCTCACTTTGTTGCCCTGGTAGAGGGCTCTGATGTCACAGCTCACAGCAACCTCAAACTCCTGGGCTTAAGCTATTCTCTTGCCTCAGCCTCCCAGTAGCTGGGACTACAGGCACCTGCCACAACACCCAGCTATTTTTTGTTGCGGTTGTCATTATCTTTTAGCTGGCCCAGGCCAAGTTCACACCCACCAATGGCTGGCGCCATAACCACTGTGCTACAGGCGCTGAGCCAGTAAGGCATTTTGTTTGTTTGTTTGTTTGTTTGTTTGATTGTTTTGAGACAGTCTCAAGCTGTTGCTCTGGGTAGAGTGTCGTGGTGTCACAGCTCACAGCAATCTCCAACTCTTGGGCTTAAGCTATTCTCTTGCCTCAGTCTCCCAAGTAGCTGGGACTACTGTGCCCACCACAATGCCTGGCTATTTTGTTGTTGTTGTTGCAGTTGTCGTTGTTTAGCAGACGCAGGCTGGGTTTGAACCCACCACTCTTGGTGAATGTGGCCAGCACCCTGATGACTGAGCTACGGGTGCCGCCAACATTGTGTTTTTTTATTCATAAATTATTTTCCTCCTCAAGTTCCATTTGACTTTTTTCTTTGTGATTATCCATAGTTTTAAGTCTGGCGGGTTTGAATCCAGCCCAGGCCTGCCAAACAACAATGATAACTATAACAACAATAACAACAACAAAAAAAATAGCTGGGTGTTGTGGCAGATGCCTGCAGTCCCACTTACTTGGGAGGCTGAGGAAGAGAATTGCTTAAGCCCAAGAGTTTGAGGTTGCTGTGAGCTATGATGCCAAAGCACTCTACCCAGGGGGATAGCTTGAGACTCTGTCTCAAAAAAAAAAAAAAAGATATAGTTACATGTGGCTATTAAAATGTGAACTTTGCATACATTAATTCAGTTTAGAAATCAGAAATGGGCTCGGCACCTGTGGCTCAAGTGGCTAAGGTGCCAGCCACGTACACCTAAGGTGGCGGGTTCGAATCCAGCCCGGGCCTGCCAAAACAACAATGGGCTGTAACCAAAAAATAGCCAGGCATTCCCAGCTACTTGGGAGGCGGAGGCAGGAGACTCACTTGAGCCCAGGAGTTGGAGATTGCTGTGAGCAGTGAAGCCATGGCACTCTACCCAGGGGGACAGCTTGAGGCTCTGTC